ATAATGGGATTTTTTTATGCTTGCTATAAATAAATCTAAAGTGCTTTTTCTCTGTCATAACATATGTCGTTATGGTGAGATTTTTAGAGCGCTGTGCTTGAAATACGCAAATAACAATATTTCAATTAAGTGACCTACTAAACACGCACGCGGATAAATGAAAAGATAATGTCGATTTAATTTAAAAACGAAAATAAATTGGCAAAATGTTCGTCAGGACCTGAACCGGCATCGTCGGCGTTCAGTGTCCTACGAACTGAGCTACCGAGTCACGCTGACGATGCCCGTGCAAGTCCTGCCCGAGTCGAACATTTTTTTCAATTTATTTTCGATTTTTAAATTATATAGCGCCTTCGTGTGAAAAATATTAAACTTTTCAAATGTTGATTGAAATCAAATAAAACAGTTTAAAGCATAATAAAATATACATTTCACGTTTCTAACCGTTAAAACCTGGCGTTGTCTTAAAAAGTGTCTGCTCTGTCTACTAGTAGTTCTATGTGAATTTAATGTATTTGAAATATTATTTTTGACAGGCAGGATTCAAATCTACAACTAAAACCATGTCTCGCTTTTTAAATGTCCAATAAAAAATGTATATTCACGTTAATTAATTGGTAACAACTCAAGAAAATGTTGATAAATACTAAAGGTTGTCCACTTTTACTTCCACATTTTTAGTAAGATAAGTAATTAAGTATACAATATACAACAACATATTGTAAGTAGCTTCACTATTCTTACCCAATAATGGGTGGCAATGACCCGGTATTCAGGTTCCATAATATCTCAATTAAGTTAATTGTGTTCAACAACTTCGATCTTCATTCGAGGAGAGTGTCTAAACCTTTATCCCACTATAGACAACTGAAGAGATCTGGAAAATGTTGTTTAGCTGTTTGCAAGATTAATTGTATCAATATTATATACCAACTCTGATAAGTAACGCTAATGCATTAATTTCGACCGATATTTGTTACCGTGGAAACAGCTAAAAACGTGTCTTATATTTCTACAAGTCTCTGTGGGTTAGAATCAAAAATGTTTTTAATTTGTCCTGAGACAGCATATGTCGAGCTCTTAAGTATATAAATAGCGTTATGTAAAAAGCAGAATAAGTTTATGGAAGGGTAAATTAGAGAAGGGTTTTAAACTCAGTACGTATCAAAACAAAGGCAATGACAGCTGTCAGTCATATGTCAGCGATCAAATGTCAATCGATAGCGCCTCGATGATAAATATTTGTATACCTTTTTGACTTGCTCTTTACATATAAAAAGCGAAAATAAAAACAAAATAAATTTAAATAATCATTGTATATACTATACCTAACTATACTGAACAAACGACATCGAACTTTCTGACCAAATCGATAAAAAAAATCAATATCTTTTTTCCTGGCTTTATTATGAGTTAAATTTCAAAAAAAGTTACGGGGTCACCGTCAGGTACGAATTCGTGATTATTCTTTGAATCCTTAAATTGAAAAAAGCAAATAAACATTTAAATGCCATCGCCTTTATTTTTTGTATTAGCTCTTTCTTATTTTACAAATCGAATTATTGCCCAGACGTGTCGGGTCACTTTTAAGTGATTATGACACAATTAACTGCTTGAAAAAAGGCCATATTTACAAAAAACCAGACAGCCAACAAAACCTTAATTGTCTTATTAAATGTCAACCTCGATATTAGTTCTAGTCCTTACTGGTTATGTAACTAATGGCATCACAAAAATAAACATTCCTTCAAGCTGTGAATAATACATAAAATTATTATCAAGTTTCATTTTAAAAAAAATTAGAAATGATTTCATGGTGCTAGAAACATGTATTTTAGGTTTTGAGTTGAGATTCCCAGGGCTACCTCAAAGCACCGTAGCGTCCTGGTGGTGTGTTTGGTGGTTCTGGTCGGCTATTGTCGCCGAGGAGGTTGTAGTAGGATTTACCACACTCCCCACGTCATATTATGACATTGCCTCGTGGGCAATTAGTTTTAGCTTGTAAGTTGTTTCGAAACCAAATCAATGAACCTTATTTGAGGGAAGCCTTCTGTCGACTGTTTGTAACGAACAACTATGGCCGCGCTAGAAGACACGATCTCTTTGACGTCCCGAGAGATCGCACCTGTGCTCTGTTTTCGCCGATACCACGAATTTGAACCTCATTCAACGCTCTCCTCAAGTTAAGACCCAAATGTGACCTTTTCCCAAATCAATGTTCAGCAATACAGAAATAATTGTCTGATTTTGAAATTTTCTCCTAATGCAATTGATAGATAACCTATATTTAACTGTAATTCTATTGTGTACTTCTATCCAGTTAATGTAAGTGGCTTTTGCCGTTTTAAATGTTTATAAAAATAAATAAATAAACAAAATTCACATCATATGTAAGAAAAAAGGTTTTAAGTTAAGAAGTTAGAGTTAATAACTCAATATATTATAAATCGTTGTCATAAAAGTTCACAGTACCTACAAGTACACTTTTGCATCAATTTCATACAGATTATTAATAGCATGAGATTCAAATGATTGAAATTTGAAAAAATTAAAGACAACTAAAACTACTAACTAAAAAGGGTGAGAGGCTACGGCTTGGAGACTTCTTTATTTTTCATGTGATGGCATTGTATAAATTACAAAACTAATTAGATTGAAAAAAATACGCGGCACGAGCGGGACCTGAACCAATATCTAGAGCGTTTCATGCTATTGCTCTAAATAATTGAGGTTTCTGTTATTTTAAATACAAAATAATAACGTGCTTTTGCAGCATATTGGAACAATATATTATGTGCAAGGTCGCCTTTTTAATACGTTCCGTGGGTTTAATCTATCAAGCAACTAGACAATTCAATATTAACGATAAAAAATTTTTTTAAAAGTTGATACGTCTGGGAACTTAACCTATTACTAGAGCATTACGTGCTGTTAGTCTACTCCCTAATGAGCTACCATTTACCACTCGTTCTCATTAAATCCTTTTCAACCATTCATATATGTACCCTTCCCGTGGTGTAATTTCTAGATATGGAGATTCAATATCTGCTTATTCAATATATGCTTCTCAATGATATATAAAAAAAAAACTAATTTACATTGAAACGATGACACAAGCGGATCTCAAACCCACTACAACTCGGTGTGTTTCAATATCACTGAACAAGAGAGAGATATGACAGTGTTTATCAACTTTTTAGTTTATTTGCAAGAGAGAAATCACACTCCGTTGTGTCACTCAAAGTAAAAGTAGCATATCGGTGAACCGAAAAACTTAACTCTGCATAATCGCCAATACTTACATAACTGTATTATGTCGTGTCGGTCTGTTTTTACTTAGTCTTAATAAAAATAAAAGATCATTATAGCTGATAAAGGTTTACTTAAGATGTACTTTATCCTTTAGGTTTTTTATTATTATACTTGAAGTTGTAAAAATTATATTACAATTGTTAATACAAGTTCCGTTAGGAAAGGACCCAAGATATATAATTATAGTAATAACAGTATGTTTGATAACTAGAAAGAATACCTTAAAAAATTCTGTCATTTATTTTGCTTATAAACCTTTTTTTTATACATTTAAACCGTTTGGTTAAAAAAAAAGTGCATAAAACAAATAGATACGTAGTCAAAACAATCGTATGCATTTCTTATGCAAATATTAATTGTTTGTTTATTATTAATTCAAAGAATATATTTTATTATAATTAATTATTATATAAATACATACCGACGTCACGTGGGTTATTATTTGATGTTTTTTGAGCACTGGCGAATAAAACGAGAGATACGAGGAAAACACAGGAAAGGTTCTCTTGGAAAATCTTCATATTGACAAAAGGCAATTTTGGTTTCTAATTAAACGCGAGAAAGTTCAAAATGCCGAATTAATTTTGTGTGCTGTTTTAGAAACCCGATAACATTTTAACGACGGCGCTCTTTCCGGACAGCGCGTGCGTCACGGACTTTGTAATGTGTGCAGACTGAAATGCTGCGTCCGCGCAGGTGCGAGTCTTTGAGAGGGCTAGCTAGCAATTTCGCGTATCATCTGCCAAACAAAACAACATCAGTCGATCTATAACAGCAGCGGTAAGATAATTGCGCATAAGTGCAATAAAAATAGCAACACCGAGTTGCGTTCAATTACCAACCAGGCTTACATTTTTAAAGGCCAAGGACGTTGATTTATATTATTTACAATATTATGTAAAGTGTATTGTGTTTTAAAACTCGCATTTTTGTTTTAGCTGCTTTCAATCAAATCAAAATGAGTTGTGTCGTCGTTTTTGACAGTTCGCCTCGTTTGGTGACAAATTTTTTAATGTTTCTGGTGTAGATGGTAAAGAATAACTTGTATATTCTTTTTCAGTTTTATTTCGTCTTAGCGTCTTTTCTAACTTCCCTTAGCGTCTTTAAGTATCATTTTGTCAGATTCATAGAACGTGGCTTTTTAAAATTAATTAGTTAAATAATAAATGCATCTCTGAATAATAAAAATGTTTTTTTAGATATCGATTTTATTATTTATTAAGACAAAAGCTTACTATATAATATTGACACTATATGACAAAAACTCAAAGAAATATATAAACAGATCTCAACCAAAGTTTTGAATTATTTTTGATGACGGTCTGATGAAGGTAACATTATTTGACTTAATACTATTTTAGTGATTATGCGTAAACAGATATTATAATATAATAAAATTATTTATTGACTTTCAAAATAAAAACAGTCGCCGGCCTATTATTAATTTTGAATAGATTGTAATTCTGTACTCTAATGTCAATTGTCAAAATCAAATAACACTAACAGTTATGTTCAGTGGCAAGTCAACTGTCAAAAGCAGAAAAAAAAGCAACGCAAAAATTGTCATAACTAGAAGGAAAACACATTATTATAAGTTTATGATTTACATTCACGTATCTATAGATTTATTGTTATTAAGGTGTGTGTGTGTGTTTATTAACACAATATTGCAGTGTTCATATATAAGCATGGCAGGTTTTACGGAAAATGCTTTAATTCGAAAATTGCAAGATTTGAACTCGAGCCAACAAAGTATTCAAACGTTGTCCCTGTGGCTTATACATCATAGAAAACACCATGCTGCTGTTGTTAAAACATGGTATAAGGAGTTGCTAAAAGGTAAGGACTAAGGGTTATTTCATTACGATTATTTGAAATATCTCATGTAATGTTAAGTAACAGTTACAACTATGTCCAGAAAAAGCTGCTAAGGCTAAGAAACTGTTTACATATTTATCTTAAACTCTGTATTTTTAACTTTCAGTAAAAGATAGCAAACAGTTAACATTTATGTACCTCGCAAATGATGTAATACAAAATAGTAAGAAGAAAGGTCCGGAATATGGGAAAGAGTTTGGAGAGGTGTTATTAGATGCATTTAAATTGATGGCTAAAACTGGGATCAATGAAAAGACTAAACATTCTTTGCACCGAATACTTGGTATTTGGGAGGAAAGAGGTGTTTATGATGCAAAGAAAATTCAAGAATTTAAAAATGCAGGTAAGTAAATAGTACAACAATTTAACATTTAGTAATATTTTGATTATTCATCATTAACTTGTTTATTAATAATAAAGTATCATTTACTAAAATTGCTCATTATAAAGTACTTAAAACTAGTGGTTTTGTGTTTAGGTAATATCATTAAGTAATTTTATTTATAAACAAACAGCTCATCTTGTAAATTATAAAGTTACATTACAATTATTATTTTATTTAATAATTAAATATGGAGATATCTTTTGACTGATGATATACATTGTAGAGATGCTAAAATGTGTCATTTTCCTTATTATTTTCAGTTGATCCAAATGATGCAATACCAAAAAAAGTTAGTAAAAGAAAATCTACCGATGTCGACAATAAGAGTCAAGGAAAAAAGCAAAAGACAGAGAAGACTGAAAAAACAGAAAAGCGTAGATATAGCGAGACAAAGATTGAGGTTGATGGCAAAATTGAGACACACATCACACTCAGCCCTAAAACACCTCCGGGTGACCCACCAGAACCTGAAGAACTAATTAAAGTACTTTTTGTCATGCATTTTATTTTATTTATACAAAGTCACTCATATAAGATGGGCCTTAACACCTTATAAATACAATCTTCTGTCTAAGTCTGAACTTCCCTTAAAAATACTCAGATATAACATAAATTATATTTAAACCATTATCCATTTATTGAACAACGTAATTGCAGTTATAATTATTTTGAAGTAATGTGACTTCAAATATGTAAAACTAATATTTTAAAGATTTTCTTTGATAATAGAAGATAATAATAATTTATATCTTATTTCAGGCCTTGTTAGAATTGGAAGCGAGTGCCTCCAGTGATGAAGCAGTAAGAGAAAAAATTGCATCCCTTCCCCCAGAGGTGTCTGAGGTGCAGTTATTGTCAAATCTACAAGGTTATTTATTAAAAATTATCAAATTAATTTGGGTTTGTTACTGAGGATGGTTAGACTAATTTTTACATAGAATTTTTTTGTGTTGCTTATTAATGCAAAATTGCTAGGATAAGATAGCAAGATAGAGTATAATTTTTGTATTATTTGTTATATTTAAATAAAACACTTTAACGGTTTAAACGCGATATATTAGTTAAACTTATTTGAAAATGATTTTTAACTTCGGCCCGACGTTCTTCTCCTTCTTCTCTTTAGTCTTTAGTCTTCCCGTGACCACGGCTGCTGCAAAGCATCCGAAACGTCGGGCCGAAGTTAAAATTTATTTTCAAATAAGTTTAACTAATATATCGCGTTTTAAACCGTTAAAGTGTTTTATTTAAATGTGTACTACTCGCGTAAACTATAGACAGTATTTTATTTGTTATAGACAAAGAGTCTGCCCTCAATTTAAGCTATATGGTTAATTCGGCTGTCGATCTCTTGGCTGAGTATAATTTGCGGCTGTCTGACGAACTGGACAAAAGGAGAAAAGTGGACGCCATGTTGAGGGACTTTGCGCAAGCGCAACAGGATCTAGCTAAACTCGCCGAAGCTAGGCTCGAGGTGAGATGTTTTATGGTAATTATCCATAGTAAATTAGTGTATTTTTTCTAACTTGCCAAAAGATCTCAACAATTATGTCCGATTTCAAACCATAGAGAAGTTGTGACCAATGATGACTTAAGGATAATAAGAAACAACGATATACATTGACCAAAGACGTAAATATTCAAAATGTATTTTATGACGACGTTTGTTTTAAATTTTATATCATTACTATTTAACTCGACGTTTGTAACGCTTTTTGCCGATTGTCCTTGAGTGGGACTTCTACCTTCTACTGTTGTTGATTTTGCTTACATCCCATCCCTATGTAAATGTCAACACTATAGGATCTTCGATCTGTTCATTTATGTAATGTTTTTTTTTATCATTATTAACTTTAATTTGAGATAGTGTCCATATATAATCAAGTGTTTTAGTATAGACAAATGTGAGAAAATCACGGTTTCGTGTTAATTGTGTGTTTGGTTACCAAAAATGCCAAGTTAGAAAAAATACACTATGGTTTAGATTTACTATGTACCTTATTGCCGTGGATTAAGTGTTATTATCGAAAATATTGTTTCAGGAGTACAACATAATACTGCAAAAGCTGTATGCTGTGAAAACAGAGTTAAAATCCCATATTGAAAGTCTACCCGATGTCTCTCGTTTGCCTGACGTGACTGGAGGCCTAGCGCCTTTGCCCTCCGCTGGTGACCTTTTTAGTGCATGAAGTAGGACTTTGCTGATGACTTTGTATGAGAAACTGTGACAAAACTTACTCGCACTTATAAAGTTAAAAAAATTTACCATATAACATTTGAAATAATTGCTTATTTTAAAATTATTTACTTGGTACTTCTCTTGATTAAAAATACATATATAATAAATCTTCACTATAGCTTCTATAATGATAGAAACGTCAGCAGAGTAGTTAAAATTTCCAAAACTAATATATTTCGAATTTAAACCGTTAAATTGTGTTTCACATTCGTATATACAGTTACGTTATCGTTAAAGGAACATATATTTTTTTATCAGTACATAATTTTTAAATTGACAATTACTTAATTAGAAAGAGCGTTGGTCCTAATATTACGTCATGTGTTTTGTGTACTACAAGATTATATCGTTAAAGGTACCGCGAATCTACCTGACAAGTATTCAAATAAAACGGTTGAGGGTAGTTTGTTTTTCAACATAATAAAATACATATATAATAAATCCTCTTGGCTTCTAATATTTGTCACATACTGCCCATTAAGAATAGAAGTTTACCAAAGAGAAAGTTTGGAGCGCCCTTTTTGTATCTGTATACAGGTTTTCATACCAATGCTGTGATTATAAATGAAAGTGCCTGTAAGAATTTAGTGTTTTCCATTCATAATAAACCGATAAAGATGATTAAATACCCATTATATCTAGAACCAAGTGATGTCCTATTTGTCACCATTATTTAGGATAATCGTCGAAACCCACCAAACCTCAGGAGCAGAGCGGTGGGTTTACCTTTGCTAAATGGTGAGACGTCAAAGAACCAATTAACATACTTTTAAATGTCAGCTAAAATTGTGTCTTGAACTACCGAAATTGTTTCCTTGTTCCATTTCAATAGCATTAAATAGTTAAAACTATGAAAATATTAAAAACTGATTATAATACAATTCGCGTTTATATACTGTATTAACAAATCCTTTAAATGGAGTTACAAAATTACGCTTCTAGAGATGTAAAAAGATTAATGACTGAAATACAAATGAATTTTGTCCACTTCGCTTTAAACGCTAAAGCAAAGAAACAATATATTTTGTTGTTAAAGTGTAGTTTTAGTTCTAGATGCAAAGTAGAAAACTACTGTATAACATGTATAGAAATATACTTACTGTTTAATTGATGAACTGTGTTTTATTTTACTATAAATCTATACCATGTTGGTATACAAAAGCACATTGGTATGCAAAATCTTAAAAGATAGACATATACTGTCACAGACATTTTTAAAATCATTAAAAGAGGAATCATTCTTTCATACATAAATCCCACAATGATAATTTTCCCGTTTTTTCCCACTGTCTCTTTGCTTCTATTGGTTTCAGCGCTGTTTTATAGCCTAAAGCCTTCCTCGATAAATGGGCTATGCAACACAAAAAAAATGGACCATAGTTCCTGAATAGTTTGAAATAAAGAACTTTATAATATTAGTATAAACTATAGTTATACACACGGCAGAAACAATATACTTTTTATTTTGGATAAATAAACTTTGACAATCATGTAAGTTACGTTATGCACCCAACTATGTATGTCAGATGTACCTTACTTACTTATAATAACTAATAGATGTCGCTAAGTATCTTTAATGCTTAAACGGCATACAGTTTAGTGCGTATTTTAAAATCTTTGACATGGTCAAAACGTAACTCTGACAGCACTCATTTGCGAATATTTTTTGATATTTATTCTGCGTTATTATGATAACTAATTAAAACCATGAGCGACACCGTCGTAAGTGTAATTTAATAATTATTACTATTTCGTGTAAGGAGAGCAATTAAAAATGTAATTTGTTTTAGAGTACTCGAACTAAAACTTTATCCGATTCTACGGCGTCTGTCTCAACAGAGGATCCTTTGGTAAGACTAAGAGAAAATATAATAATTAGTATCAATACCAATCAGTGCCTAGCTATCGTAGGGCCAGGTGGTGCAGTGCACCAGGGCTCCGGAACTTAGGGGCCCTCTAACCTTATCTTTGAGAAGATATAAGCGTAGAAGAAAAGGATTTTTACGTCCTTGTTGTTATGTATAATTTTGAGGTTCATTTAAATCAAGCTATGCTAAAATGATTTTGATAAGAGTCCCTTATCATTTCATATACCTAGTCAATAGATATAATGAGTAGAATAATATCAAGTTGATCTTTTTGTTTCCTTAAACACATTCATAAAGATGTTATAAACATTACATAATATAAGGCCTTATAAATTGTATAAAGTTTTCGCGGCCATATTGTGAAACCACTTGGGTTTCCATATGTTGTACTGTAATTAATAAATTATTACCGATATTTGATCCGTATTTGACAAATAATAAAAGATTATCTTTACGACGGTCGAATTGGCGCCGAAGTAGCGTTCTATTTAATTAAAATTTAAAATTTGAGGACATCCATTGGGTCTCCTCCATGATTCTACGTTTGCGCAGGTCTGTAGGTGTTATACCTGTTTATTCTCTTCTTTCTTCTCGACGATCTTCTTGGTTTTAGATTGAAGACAGATGGACAAATAACATCAGCTATCGTCAGCTAGTGCTCTCTTCTTGCATAGGAATCATTCAACTCTGGTGGCACCCATACTTGCAAGATTTTTCCAAACTGCTGCCGTTTCTGTTTCTCTACAACGTGTTTAGTATATTTTTCGCCTACCCGCTCTTCTATATGGAGTTGGCTTTGGGTGTTGTCACCAAAAAAGGGGTCTTGAACTGTTGGGACATAGCCCCGATCGCTAGAGGTAGGTATTTTCAGAAATATGTACGATAATGTCTTACAAATCCATAGCAAAGACGTTAAAGACAACACAAAAGGTATACCATATTATTTTTAACTAGATCTATAACAATATTATCTGTAAGAAAACACACGGAGTAGTTCTCTAGATGCAGTAGAAACAAAAGTCAATAAAGAAAACAATTAGTCTGTTTGTCTTTTCGTTTTGTATTAAGTGAGCCGTGAGGCTAGCAATCACAAAATCAGTTCGACTGACCTCACTGAAATCTATTAGTATAGATAGATGAGCGAGATCAAACAATCTCTTTAGCTATAAAGAGATTGTTTGATCTCGCTAATTTCAGGAAGTACTGTTTCGAATTGAGCAAAAATATTGTTGTGTTCGATAGAGCACTTATTCAGGAAGGCTAATTCTAATAGGAGCGAGGAACATTGGGAAAAGTGGGTGGTTATTCATTTTTGAGGGTGTCACTTGCGTGCGATGCGAAATCGGCTCAAGATACTCAAAGAATATGTATGAAAGAATAATTCCTCTTTAAATCATCTAAAAAAATGTCCGTGACCAAAGACAAAAATATTAATTTAATGAGACTTTATTTGTCCACCGATTTTTCCTTCCCAATTCCAGGAATAGGAATAGCGATGCTCATATCGTCAATGTTCACGGTGCTATCTCTTGGCGTGGTTAGTGCATGGTCACTGTCAATGACAGTCCATTCACTTCATTCCTTTTTACCCTGGTTACACTGTGCTGCAACAGCGAATCCACCTTGCGCAGCTCGTCATCGCCCCTTACCCCAAGGCAGCGAAGTGCCACCACAATCGTTCTTTTTGTTAGTACTAATAAACTAACTACTGTAGTTTACGCGAGTAGTACAACATTTAAATAAAACACTAGTTCGCCAAATACGAATTTCAACGGAACAGATGGCGCTAGCGTAGCATTACCTACTTTTTCATTAGAGACAGCCTCCATCTTTAGTCTCCTCGTGACTGCGGCTGCTGCAAAGCGTCCGAAACGTCCGCGTCGCGTACATATCGCGTCTTAAATCGTTAAATTGTTTTATTTAAATCTATTAAATTGGTAGAAACTTCCACAATATAAAGTTCGGCAGTTGAAACATATGTAATTAAACGTATTTATTGAATCTAAACTGGAATGTCTTTTTTGACGTTATTAAATTATGTACACTATATAAATCAAAATCGACTATAGATTAAAAAAATACGACACGTGCTGTCTATAATCGATTTTATTGTCTTAAATGATGTTGGCTTTTATAAATAATTTTACGGGGTATTTAATACATCAAAGTAAACAAACCTTTTGTTACGTGGCGCAACAATTTTTTAGTCAGTTACAATACCCATACAAATTTGGACATTGCTCGTTACAATTTGCCCCAATGACATTTAAAGCGAAACCAATCAAATGAATGGTTCGATTGACTCTTTTATGAGTAACAGAATCATTATGTCCTTAAATTTTCTTACTTTGAAATAATTTTTTCATCAAGCTTAAAACTATTAAGTCTTAAAAGTTTAGTATTAATAACATTTAATCGCATTGGCATTGTCCTGTAAAGATAGAATGAGTTTATACAAATAAATATTTTCTTTATTTATGTAACCTTACCTTACCTTAGTACTTTGGTAGTAAGTGTATTTTTACGTTCAAGAGATCGGGAGTTCGATCTCCAGTCGTGCATCAAAACTATGACTCCTGGTTTCACCATGATGTTAATATACGATTTAATTTTTCAGTAACTTCATATTAAACTTGAAACGCGATGGACTTTCTGGCGGTTTAGGAAATATAGTGCCGGATTTGACCGTGTACTATGTTATTACCTGGATATTAGTGTACTTTATTGCATGCAAACGAATTTACAGTTATTCAAAGGTATTGACATTTTAATCTTTTATGAATAAACTTTTGTGTCAACCAACCATCCTGGTTCTCTACCAATTAATCTTACGTGAGTATAGATCAATCTCGAGCATTTTGCAACTCTTGCGCAATACAGCTGTAATCTAACAAAATTGGTTTTCAGTTGGTTTTATTCAAAGATGTGCTGACGTACTTCATGCTGGCTTTGTGTGCTGTCGGTGTAGTGAGACTTAAAGGTGCGGGGAAGATATTTAAAGAGTGCGACTGGGGCGTGCTTTTCAATGGATATCAG